CAGTAGGAGTAGTACCAGTAGCACTTGTAGCAGCCGTAGTAGTAGTAGTAGTAGTAGTAGTAGTAGTAGTAGTAGTAGTAGTAGTCGTAGATAGCGATAGGAGTAGCAGCATTGGCAGTAGTAGCAATAGTAGTAGAGGTAGTCGTAGTAGCAGTAGTAGTAGTACTGGTAGAAGTAGCCGTAGTAGTAGCACTGGTAACAGTAGTAGTAGTAGTAGTAGTAGTAGTAGTAGTAGTAGTAGCCGTAGTAGTAGTAGTAGTAGTAGTAGTAGTAGTAGTAGTAGTAGTAGTAGTAGTAGTAGTCAGAGTAGTAGTAGTAGTAGTAGTAGCAGTAGTAGCAGTAGTAGTAGTAGTAGTAGTAGTAGTAGTCGTAGTCGTAGTATTGGTATTAGTCGTAGTAGTAGTAGTAGTAGTAGCAGCGGTGGTAGTAGTAGTCGTAGTAGTAGTGGTAGTAGTAGTAGTAGTCGTCGTGCGAGTAGTAATTCTAGTAGTAGTGGTAATCATACTAGTAGTTGTAGTAACAGCGATGGTCGTAGTAACAACAGTAGTAGTAGTAGTAGTAGTAGTAGCAGTAGCAACAGTAGTAGTAGTAGTAGTAGTAGTAGTAGTAGTAGTAGCAGTAGCCGTAGTAGTAGTAGTAGTAGTAGTAGTAGTAGAAGTAGTAGTAGTAGTAGTAATAGTAGTAGCAGCATTGCTAGTAGTAGTAGTAGCAGCAGTGGCCGAGTGGTAGTAGTGGTAGTAGTAGTAGTAGTAAGTAGTAGTAGTAGTAGTAGTGGTAGTAGTAGTAGTAGTAGTAGTAGTAGTAGTAAGTAGTCCGTAGTAGTAGAATAGTACTAGTATAGTAGTATGTATTCGTAGTAGTAGTCGTGGTCGTAGTCGTAGTAGCGTAGTAGTAGTAGTAGTAGTAGTAGTAGTAGTAGTAGTAGTAGTAGTAGTAGTAATAGTAGTAGTAGTAGTAGTAGTAGTAGTAGTAGTAGTAGTAGTAGTAGTAGTAGTAGTAGTAGTAGTAGTAGTAGTAGTAGTAGTAGTAGTAGTAGTAGTAGTAGTAGTAGTAGTAGTAGTAGTAGTAGTAGTAGTAGTAGTAGTAGTAGTAGTAGTAGTACGGCAACCCGTGGCCTATGTTACTGGATTCTGAGGATCCCCGAAGAGGGCCCTTCGGGGTTCTGCGGGCTTCTTAGGGGGTTCTATAGGACTCCCTGGGGTCCCTCCGGCCCCAAGGATTCCAAAGGATTCCTGTGGATTCCTAAGGGTTTCACAAGGATTCCTTGGGATTCCCCGGGGTCCCCAAGATTTTCTTTGGAGTTCTCAAGATTCATCAGGAATCTTCGGGATCCCACAGGGGTCCTCAGGACCCACCAGGAGTCATCCGAAAACTTGAGGGGTCTTTAGAAGTCCTCAGGATGCCCGAAGGGTATTCAGGATTCATCAGAATTCCTCGGGACACTTCAGGGTTCCTAAGAGCTCCTCAGGGTTCTTCAGGGTTTGTCAAAACTCTTCTGGAACATCGAGGACTCCTCATGGTTTGTTTGGAATCTTTAGCTTTCCGGAGGCCTCCTCAGGATTCCTGTGAGCTCCTCGGGGTCTCCAGGGTTCGTCAAGGCCCCCTCTTCAGGATCCCCCAAGGTTCTTCAGGATTCCGTGGGATTCCTCTGAGCCCCGCAGGGTTCTTCAGGCTTCGTCAGGATCCTGTGGATAATCGAGCGCCCCCCCAGAATTTGCAGGATTCCTCAGGATTCTTTTTGTTCCCAAACCTCGGGCGTCCTCGGGGTTCCGAAGAGGTCCTCAGAGTTCTTCAGGGTTCGTCAGAACTCTTCTGTATCATTGAGGTTTCCTCAGAGTCCTGCGGGATTCTTAACGGTTCTACAAAACGACGCTTTTCTCTGGTTTCCCGACGCGTTTCATTCTGAATTCTTTTAGGGTTCCAAAACAAAACAAGGTTGTCTCCGGATTCCCGAGGCGGTCCAATTTCGTTTTGAATTCGTTTTGAATTCCAATGCAAAGCATTTGCCTTATCCGGATTCCCGAGGCGGTCCAATCTCCTTTCAAACACTTTTTGAATTTCAGTACCAAACAACGGTTTTCTCCGGATTCCCGAGGCGGTCCAATGTTGTTTTGCATCCCTTTTGAATCCAATACAAAACAATGGTTTTCTCCGGATTCATGAGGCGGTCCAATTTCGTTTTAGACTCCTTGTGAATCCCAATACAAAACAATGGTTTTCTCCGGATTCCCGAGGCGGCCCAATTTCCTTTACAATTCTTGTTGAATTCCACTAAAACGATTTCCTCCAGATTCCCGAGGCGGTCCAATGTAGTTTGGATTTCTTTGTGAATTCCAATACAAAACAATGGTTTTCTCCGGATTCATGAGGCGGTCCAATTTCGTTTTGATTTCCTTGTGAATTCCAATACAAAACAAGAGTTTTCTCCGGATTCCCGAGGCGGTCCAATTTCCTTTCAAATCCTTTTGAATTCCAATGCAAAACAATGTTTTCCGGATTCCCGAGGCGGTACAATTTCCTTTTATTTTGTAACAAAGCGTACCAGAAACACTTTTTTTTATTGTTTCGCGCGCGCCTTCCCGAACCCGAATCCGAACCCGAACCCTTACCCTTCACCACTTATTCAAACCTGGTAACACAGACTATGGGTTACCCTAGTAGTAGTAGTAGTAGTAGTAGTAGGGTTGCACCTGGTCCTCGTGTCGCTACAAACCTCACCTTCGTGTACTCTTCTTGTGTATCAGGCCTAATAGAACTCCTACCAGGGGAATTACGAAAACATTAGTTTCAAACCTGGCCTTCGTGTCTTTCGCGCCAATGCCTACCTTCGTGCACTATTCGCTGTAGAGGCTGTAGATTGTATTCGTATTAGAAGCGAACAAAAAACGACAGTTTTACACCTGTCCTTCGTGTCGACGTCGGATTTGGAGCAACCGCCACTGCCAGCCGCTTCATTTCGGCACAACCCTCTCGAGGATCGTGGGCCTGGCCCTCCGACGCGCGATTCCGGCGCGCACTTCACTAGGATCGTGGCCCTGGTCCAAGTGGGAGCGCTGCCGAAGGCCCACCGACGTCCAATTCCGGCACGCCACTCACGAGGATCGTGTCCTGGCCCACCTGGGAGCGCTGCCGACGGCCCACCGATGAGCAATATCGGTGCACCCCTCACACGGATCGTAGACCTCGCCACATTTGGATCGCCGCCCGACGCTGAAGTTCGGCACACCTCTCACATGGATCGTGGCCCTGACCCAATGTGGAGCGCTGCCGACGGCCCACCGACGCCCAATGCCGGAACACCCCTCACGAGGATCGTGGCCCTCTGGTCCACTTGAGAGTGGGTTTTCATAAGGACGTCGTTCTGGTTTTATTCGGGAAGGCATTATGGTTTTATTCGTTTCTGGTTCGTGATGGTTAGGAGGAGGAGGAGGAGGAGGAGGAGGAGGAGGAGGAGGAGGAGGAGGAGGAGGAGGTGGGGGACGGGCAGGAGGAGGAGGAGGAGGAGGAGGATGAGGAGGAGGAAGAGGAGAGGAGGAGGAGGAGGAGGAGGAGGTGAGGAGGAGGAAGAGGAGGGGGAGGAGGAGGAGGGGGAGGAGGAGGATGAGGAAGAGGAAAGCGAGCAGGAAAAGAGGAACGCTGTTTTCTCGTTTTTCACAATGGGTTTGCGAACCTCACCTTCGTGTACTATTGGCTCTATAGCCCCTGTATTGTTTTCTTACGAGCGAACGGCGAAATTGTGAGTTTCCGAACCCCTTCTTCGTGTACTATTAGAATCAGTGGGCTTCCGAACCTCATCTTCGTGTACTATTAGCTCTATAACCCCTGTATTGTTTTCCTATCAGCGAATGGCGAAATTGTGGGTTTCCGAACTCCTGCTTCGTGTACGATTGAATTCCGACTATTCTATGTTAGTCTATGTGGTTTAAACTGATTGTGTGGAACCGAACCCGAACCCGAACCGAACCCGAACCCTTACCCTTACCCTTACCCATTCATTCTTAGTAGACACGAAGGAGAGGTTTAACCCTAGTAGTAGTAGTAGTAGTAGTAGTGGTAGTAGTAGTAGTAGTAGTAGTAGTAGTCGTAGTAGTAAGTAGTAAAAGTAGATCGTAGTCGTAGTAGTAGTAGTGTATAGTAGTAGTAAGTAGTATAGTAGTAGTTAGTAAGTAGTAGTAGTAGTATAGTAGTAGGTCGTAGTCGTAGTCGTAGTCGTAGTAGTAGTAGTAGTCGTAGTAGAGCAAAAGTAGTAAGTAGGCGTAGTAGTAGTAGTTATAGTAAGTAAGTAGTAGTAGTAGTAGTAGTAGTAGTAGTAGTAGTAGTAGTAGTGTAGTAGTAGTGTATGTAGTAATAGTAGTAGTATAGTAGTAGTAGTAGTAGTAGTTAGTAGTAGTAGTGTAGTAGTAGTAGTAGTAGTAGTCAGTAGTAAGTAGTAAGTAGTAGTAGTTAGTAGTAGTAGTAGTAGTAGTAGTAGTAAGTAAGTAATAATTTCAGTAGTCGTCGCCGTAGTAGTAGTAGTAGTAGTAGTAGTACGTAGTAGTAGTAGTAGTAGTAGTAGTAGTAGTAGTAGTAGTAGTAGTAGTAGTAGTTGTAGTAGTAGTAGTAGTAGTAGTAGTAGTAGTAGTAGTAGTAGTAGTAGTAGTAGTAGTAGTAGTAGTAGTGATAGTAGTAGTCGTAGTCGTAGTCGTACCAATACAAACAATAATGATAGCTTTCGGGGGGTGAGCATTTTTTGTCTGGGTTTCGACATCTGGCCACAAAGGAGGGGGGGCTTGCGTCTTGGCTGGTGCTTAATCTATCGTTTCTACCCGTCGCGCAAGCAAGCTGGGAGGGGGGTCATGCCCAGCCGCCAAGAACTAGCCGCCTAAAGCAGCTAAGATCTGGTCCATGAAGGCGGGGGGGGGGGGCCGGGGGCCCGCGCCGATCGGCGAAACAATAAAAACAAAAACACGGCGACTGGAGGGGGGTGGGCGCAGATAGCGGCTGCCCCGCGAGCGGAGCTCCTCCCTCAGCCTCCTGTTCTTCTCCTGCGCGGCGCGCCCGCCGAGGGTGGGGTGGGCTGGGAGGCAGGCGCTCCCGAGCAGAGGTCAGGCGTTGACGTGACTGGGCTTGATGGGACCTGGCCCCCCAGACAAGAAAGGGGCCCAATCCGCGTGATTTCCCATCTGTTCCACATTTCCTGGATGCTCGTCTGCCCCTTCCACTTCCCGTGCTCTCCATACTCCCAGGGGAATCGACAAGTCTCTGAGTCTGCGTGGGACTGGAGTGGGACGTGGCTCCCCGAGAAGACAAAACCAGAACGAGGATCAAATCGGGTGAGGAGAACTAGAGGATCTCTGAGATCCGGCGGGTCTGGAGGATGTCTCGGGCGCCGCGGCCTGCACAGAGCTTTCTGGAACGCTCTGACAGCGTTCCAGGACGATCTGGAACTGATTCGTCCTCGTCCTAGCCCCACCCGACCCAAACAGTGCTTGCACTTGGGGGTTCAAACTTCTGTCTAAAGGACTTAAGATGGTGTGCCGCTCTGGCGGCTATGTAGTCGCCGTCGCCGCCCCGTCGCCACCTCGTCGCCGTCGGTCGTCTGGGCCGGTGTGGCGCTCTGGCGGCTATGTAGTCGCCGTCGCCGCCCCGTCGCCGCCTCGTCGCCGCCGGTCGTCTGGGCCGGTGTGGCGCTCTGGCGGCTATGTAGTCGCAGTCGCCGCCCCGTCGCCGCCTCGTCGCCGCCGGTCGTCTGGGCCGGTGTGGCGGTCTGGCGGCTATGTTGTCGCCGTCGCCGCCCTGTCGCCACCCCGTCGCCGCCCTAGACTGCAAAACATAGATTGCACAACAAAGAGTGCATCGCATAGATATCATAACATCGATTGCACCACATAGCTTACACAACCTATATTGGAATGGATAGAGTGCACTACGTGAATTGGACAACGTAGATGGTACCACATAGCCTGCACAACATATATTGCACCACACACGTTGCCATCTTAGACTGCGCCGCGTGGCGTGCAACAATTATTTTGCACCATATAAATTGCTCTCTTTAGACTGCACCGCGTAACTTGTACAACACATAGTGAAGCGCCTAGATTGCATCACGTGGAGTGCACAACAGATATGGCACCACAGAAAATGCACAACATATATTGCACCGCGTCGACTGCGCAACCAAAACTGCACTACTTAGACTGCACCGCATATATCTAACTGAATGTATTGCACCACGTGAGTGGGATGACGTAGATGGTAACACATAGGGTGCACATCATAGTTTGCAACACCATATATACTGCCCTTCTTAGATTTGATCGCAAAGCTTGCACAACATAAAGTGAACCGCCTAGAATGCATCATGTGGACAGCACAGCAGATATGGCACCACAGAAACTGCACAACATATATTGCACCGAGAATCGCGCACAACAAAAATTGCACCACTTAGACGGCACCACATATATTGAACTGAATAGATTGCACCGCATGAACTGGACAACGTAGATGGTACCACATAGACTGCACAACTGAGCTTCTGAATTAGGATCTCCACCCCCCCAGGGGGTTATCCGCCCCCCTTTCATAGTGCAATTTGCATATGATTCTGCCCCACTGCCCATCCGAAATATGAACTCATAGAATCCCAGCTAAACCCGTAACGCCCCCCCCCCCTCATCCTCTGCAAAAAAAACCGATGCACGCGCACACACGTTTATCACAACATATAAGCTTCCAAGAACCCCTTGCGACAAATGGGACGAAATGAGCACGCACGCGTGGTCGCGCGCTTGCCGAAATCCTTTAAAAACCGTGGGTGTCGTAAGGATTTCAAAATCGAGTGTCCCGAACTAAGATTCACAACAAAAAATCGCAACACAGAATTTTCAAACAAAGCTTGCGCTCGCGCTCACGCGAACTCTTGAGACAATCATGGGTTTTCAACATACTCATGACATGCTACCAAGCAGGCTTCGCGGGCGCATGTCGAGATCGTTCGAACGCTCTTGTGCGCGTGCTGTCGCGATAATCCGTTGCAGCAGATGGGACGGAGTGCACGCGCGCGCGTCGTCGCGCGCGCATGCCGAAATCCTCAAAAAACCATGGGATTCGCAAACATTTCAAAGCCGAGTGTCCCGCGGGCTGCCGGAGAGGGGCTCGCGAGGAAAAAGGCTTGAACAGAGGTAGCCACAGAATTACGGTGGACGGCTTACCGGACGGGGTGCTACAGTGAAGGCCAGTCTACAAGAAACCTTCCGCAAGAAACCCAACCCTGAGACCCCAGGACGTCCATCGATTTCGGCGTGGGAACGTCACGCTTTCCATCGCAAAACCGTCGAAAACCAAGAAGCCCAGGGCACCCTGGAGGCAAGCAGGGTGTTTTTTTTGGCACGGGCCTCCACTGTACAAACTCGCGAGCCCCAGGGGGGAAGTGCGAGGGGGAGCAGGCCTTCTCGGAAGGCGGCGAGGGCTCCTCAGAAGCCCCCGGCGCCGTCCGAGAAGCTTCTGCGCCTGCCCCCGAGGACAGAACGCGGCGACTCAGGAGGCACGAGGGCTTCTCAGAAGCCCCCGGCGCCTCCTGCAGAGCTTCTGCGCCCCCTCCGAGGACGGAAGGCGGCGACTCTCCGGAGGCGCGAGGGCTGCCGAGTCCTGCAGAGGAGTCGTGGCGGCTCCGGGGCAGAATTGCGGCAGCGAGGGATCAAAGGCTGCCAAGTTTACCGATTTAGTCCCCTCCAAATCTGTAAACCTCTGCGGGGACTTTTGCATTCAAGTTACGACCCGAGGAGGAGGAGGAGGAGGAGGAGGAGGAGGAGGAGGAGGAGGAGGAGGAGGAGGGAGGAGGAGGAGGAGGAGGAGGACGGCGGTAGAGGGAGGAGGAGGAGGAGGAGGAGGAGGAGGAGGAGGGAGGAGGAGGAGGAGGAGAGGGAGGAGGGAGGGAGGAGGAGGAGGAGGGAGGAGGAGGGAGGAGGGCGGAGGAGGAGGAGGGGCAAAGGAAAAGGCTGTCGATCTCGGGCCGCCGCCTCCCCGAGAGGGCTCGGCTCCCTCTCGCCTCCCCCCCCCCCGGGGGCTCGCCGCCGCTCCGCGGGGCGCCGCGGCCTCTCCCGGAGCGCGCTCCAGGACCTGGGCCTCGCTCGGACGTCCATCCCCTGCGTGTTTTTTTTTTTCGGTTTCGTGCGTGGCTTTTTCGCCCAATGATCAAGGATGCCCCTCGATGGTCCTCGCCGAAGGAAAAGTGCACAGAGCGCTCCAGAACCTGGGCATCGCTCGGACGTCCATCCCCTGTGTGTTGTTTTTTTTCGGTTTCGTGCGCGGCTTTTTCGCCCAATGATCAAGGGATGCCCCTCCTGCTCCTCCTGCTCCTCCTGCTCCTCCTCCTCCTCCTCCTCCTCCTCCTCCTCCTCCTCCTCCTGGGCCTCGCTCGGACGTCCATCCCCTGCGTGTTTTTTTTGTTCGGTTTCGTGCGCGGCTTTTTCGCCAAACGATCAAGGGATGCCCCTCCTGCTCCTCCTGCTCCTCCTGCTCCTCCTGCTCCTCCTCCTCCTCCTCCTCCTCCTCCTCCTCCTCCTCCTCCTCCTCCTCATCGCCGAAGGAAAAATGCACACGCCCGAGCGATGCCAAGGAGCGCCCTGCGAGCGCCTCGTCGCCCTCCGCAGCTGGGCACCCCTGCCCTGTGGCCCCGCCGGGAAGCGTCCGCGGGTCCGCGCGCCCGTCGCCCCCCCTCTCAGGCATCGCCTCGGGGGGCTGGTCGGACACCGAAGGTAAGGACTGATACAGTCATCGGCCTGATCTAAGGAACGATAAATCAGGGACGAAGCCCCTGTTTTCCAAGGAAAGAGCATAAGGAACAAACAAATAAAAGAAGCGCATAAGGAAGGATACGTAACGCATGCAAGCCTTAAGGAACGACCGAGCCCCTTCTGAAAAGTAAGTGTTCCTTACTCAAGCCGCTCACTGTAGGAGGCTCGAGGCCCTCACTGAATTCACCACCAGAGGCGGCAATATAATCACACTTTTGATCGACGGCGCCTACGGCAAATCACCGCCGAACCCCTGCCTTTTGGAATCGCCCATGTGGCCGAGCGCTGTGGTAAGAGCTCTGCTAAGCTATCGGACCATGTGTTCCCCCAGCCGCTGTGGAAACCCTTCGGGGAAGGACGGCGGGGAAGATCAGGATGAGGATGAGGATCACTTACCAACTTGCCAGGTCAGCGAGCGGGCCGCCATTGAAGTCCCTCGGATTCGAAGAGGAACTGCCAATTGGAGGCATCCGTTGCCTGGAGCGAGCCCCAACTCGCAGCCTGTTACTGCGGGTTGCTAACGAGGGCAAGCCCTGGCTAGCAACCCAAACGAGAGAGGCTATGCCGGAGTGGCGCCCTGCATCGGGCGATGCCTTTTTTTTGGCGTGCGTGCGCTTCACTGCGCGCGATCCACCACAATCACTTGAGGACGTGTATTTCCCTGGCCAGCTTCGTGTGGCTTGGGGCAAATCCTTTCTCGAGCGCCTTTGAGTACTGCTGCCCCGTACGTGTGGGAGGCGCGCACTCTTCATTCAACTTGCCAGTCGAGCGGAAAGGGTCTGTCCCCAGACCGCCGCACCTCGAGCAAGCGAAACGATGCAAGAGGGAGGGGAGGAGGAGAGGGTGGACGGGCGAGGAAGGGGAGCAAAGGGGGACCAACCAAGGGTGGTAAAAGGTGGAGCGGGATGCGAGCTGGAAGGAGGAAAGGCCTCACCACCACCACCAGCGCAGGGCGCCAGATTCTGGTGGTGTGGTCCCCCCATCCCCAGCGGCATGCACGTACCAAAACAAATGGCCGCCCACCCAGGCACCCCTGCCCTCTCCGCGGAGGGATCGCTAGATGGCAACGCACAAGGCTGTCGTGGGTGTTCTGGAAATCGGCCCTTCAAAGAAACCGCGCCTGGGCTCAGCAAACCAGCGTGAGGGCCAAGCATCCCGGTAACGCATGGTGAGTTTCTCGCCCGGACTCGACATCTCGAGGGCACAATGTCTCGATAGCCGGGGGCGCGGCTGGGCGTGAACTCGACGTCTCGACATCTCTACATCGGAGGGCGGGGACTCGATGACTCGATATCTCGATGTCTGGTGCGGGGCCAGGCGGGGACTCGATATCCCGATATCGGGGGCGGGGGCTCGACATCTCGATATCTCGACATCGGGGGACGGCGTTCGGGGCGGGGGTCGATGTATGGCGCCTCGCCTCCGCCCATCCCAGGATCCGAATTTCCTTCTGCACGGCCTGCGGGCCCACACGGGCCCGCTCGAGCGGGGCTCGTCCGCAGCGCAGGGCGTGCATAAAGAAATTTCCAATTCTCTGAGTGTGGGCCAGAGAGGTCCAGGGCGGTCGGAGGGGTACGTGAAAGTCCAGATGAGGATGACGATGACGACGTTGACCACGATGATGCTAATGATCGTGATGGTGGTGACGGTTATGCATAAGCACTGGGGGGCGGCGGCGGGGTCAGACTCGATATCTCGATACCTCGATATCGGAGGCGGGCTTTGGACATCTCCATGTCGCAGCCTGTTGACATACAGATCGAGATATCGAACCCCGCCTTCCCAAGAGCGCTTGTCGTCGTCCTACTTCTCCTCCTCCTTCTCTTGATTTCTCCTCCTCCCTCCTCGCACTCCTCCCTCTTATTTTCGACGGGGCGCGCCGTCGTCATGACCGTCATCACCATCATCACCATCATCAGCATCATCACCACCACCACCATCATCATCTTCATCATCTTCATAATCAGCATCAGCATCAGCATCAGCATCAGCATCAGCATCAGCAGCATCATCATCATCATCATCAGCATCATCATCATCATCATCATCATCATCATCATCATCATCATCATCATCATCATCATCATCAGCATCATCATCATCATCAACATTAGCAGCCACATTATCCGCGTGTCCAGAACCCTCACCACCATCACCATCAACATCGCCACCATCAGTACCATCATCATGGTCAACGCCGTCATCGTCATCCTCATAATCTGGACTTTCACGTACCGCTCCGACCCCCCTGGACTCCTCTGGCCCACACTCGAAAAAAGGAGAATTTATGCACGCCCTGCGCCGCGGACGAGCCCCGCTCGAGCGGGCCCGTGTGGGCCCGCAGGCCGTGCAGAAGGAAATTCGGGTCCTGGGAGAGGGGGAGGCGAGGCGCCGTACATCGATCCCGCCTCGAACGCCACCCCCGCGACATCGAGATATCGAGATATCGAGTCCCCGCCCCCGATACCGGGATATCGAGGTATCGAGGTATCGAGTCAACGCCTGTCGCCCCGCGCCCGATAGCGAGATATCGAGATAGCGAGTCCCCGCCCCCCGATGCCGAGATATCGAGATATCGAGATATCGAGTCCCCGCTCCCCGATATCGAGATGTCGGGACCCCGCCCCCGATCTCTCGATCTCGAGAGATCGAATTCCCGCCCGGCCCCAGCCCCGACATCGAGATGTCGAGATATCGAGATATCGACTCCTCCCGCTCCCCACCGGGCCGCCCTGCCACCACAGTGCAGCAAGCCGCTCGTCGGCTCCCCGCGGCGGGGGGCGCGCCGCAGGCCGCTCGTCGTCTGCGGGCGGCCGCGGCCAGCCCACGCCACTCCTCCTCCTCCTCTCCTCCTCCTCCTCCTCCTCCTCCTCCTCCTCCTCTCCTCCTCCTCCTCCTCCTCTCCTCCTCCTCCTCCTCCTCCTCCTCCCCATCCCCTCCTCCCTCCCTCCTCTCCTCCTCCTCCCTCTCCTCCTCCTCCTCCTCCTCCTCCTCCTCCTCCTCCTCCTCCTCCCCCTCCTCCTCCCCCTCCCCCTCCGCCTCCTCCTCCTCCTCCTCCTCCTCCTCCTCCTCCTCCTCCTCCTCCTCCTTCTCCTCCTCCTCCTCCTCGGGTCCTCAGCCTCCTCCTCCCCTCTGCCCCAAGGGTGAGAGCCTCACTCGAAGCCCACTGGAACGATCGCGAGGAACGGGGTGATCAGGGCCACGGCCGGCATGACCAGCGCGCAGGCCAGAAGGAGCATCGACACGACGTCGTAGAGTCTGAGAACCGACCTGCCCGTGGGGCCGATATCCTCTGCATTGTACGCCGGCTGCTCGTCGCTCGACACGCTCGGGCTGTAGTTCGGCACCACCATCTCCTGGTAAATCCATCCCAGTCTGAGGCCATCCCAGTCATCCGCGCTCACGAAGCCAAGGTCGCTGTTGATATCGTCGAGGTTGTAGAGGAAGAGAAGGCCCAGGGCGTCGAATAGCACGTTCCTTGGACTGAAGCTGGCACCTAGGATCGTGAAAGAAGCGATGGAGGTCAATAGCACGACCCATGAATTGACGATTGGTCCCAAAATCAAGAAAGGCTCGCCCCTTACATCCATGTTCGGGGTATTGTGCTTCAGGTACCGGAACGTCTTGTAGATCTTCGCCCACGACTGCTTCTCCTGGAGAATAACATACAGACCATTGATGGAAAAGACAAACAAGAACAGGGTCGACAAAACCTTAGTCGTCTTGATTGCCTGCCAATCCGAGAACGATGGCTCCCAGTCGCGCCAATGGATATCGTTGTCTCGAATGATCCCCCAGTCAAAATAGACGCTCGCAATGAGGAGGGGCGGGCCGCATAACTGGATCAAGAAGATGGTAATGCATCCCACAACGCGAACCAGCCTCCTGAATGTATCGGTCGGATCCGCGTCTTTTTCAGAGAATTGACTCGTTAGCGTGCCAAGAGCTGCAATCCGGTAGATGTTCCCTGGTAGCTCGTCGACACCGCCCAGCCAGTCGTCGTCGATGTGCTCCTCCGCCGCCCAGAACATCTCGCTGATGCTGTTGGCCTCAAGGATCGAGTCCTTGGCCTCAGCCTTCCAAGCCTCCTCCACCTGCGCGTCCGCATCCGTGAGCTCCTTCTGCCTCCTCTTCCTCTCCGAGGCCCGCCTCCGCGGCGAGTCGGCCCGGGACTCGGAGCTCTCGCCCGACGCCCGCCTCCGCGGCGACTCGGGCGCCTCGCAGCTGCCGCCCCCGAGGAGGCTCGCCCGGTCGGCGTGAGCCTCCGCCGCGCCGTGGAGCGCCTCGCTGCGGAGCAGCCGCGCTGGCGGCCCCGCGGCCTCCCTGGCCACCGCGGCGGCCACGGCGGCTTCCGCGCGCGCCAGCTCCTGCAACCCGCGCGCCACGGCGGCTTCCGCGCGCGCCAGCGCCTGCAACCGGCGCGCCACCGCGCCCGCGCGCCGCTGCCGCCGCCGCAGCGGCGGCGCCGCCGGGCCTTCCGCCGCCTCCCGCGGCGGGCGGACGAGCAGCGGGAGCGCGCCCGACAGCAGCTTGCGGATGGGCCACGCCATCGCGGCCAGTGGCGCGCCCGGGGTGGGAGGGCGACGCGCGTCACGAGCCTCAGGGTCTTGTTTAGCCAGGCCTTGCGCACCCTTGGGCCAGGCAGCCGACCGTCTTGAGTGCATCTTGGGGCCATCTTGGGCTCCCTTGGGGCCATCTCGGCAATCGTTTGGAGGCGCACCGTCTTGGGCCATCTTGGGCGTCGTTTGGAGGCGATCTTGGGAACCTTTCCGAGTGGCCGGCGCGGCGCGCTGGGCCGAAGCCCCAGGGGGGCGTTCTTTGGGAAAAAAAACCCAAGCCAAGCCGCGCATAGGATTTAGCACGCCAGGCGCCCCTGTGGCAAGTCAACAAGGGGCGGCGGATCGCGTCGCGGCCTGGGCCAGAAGGCGGACCTGCGAAGACACGGAGATAGCCGCGCATCGCGCGCGCATCACGGGGCGTGATGCACGAAGCTAAATGACCCAGTGCACCAGGCTACCAGGGCTGGGCTGGGCCTTCGGGGGAGGGGGTGCCGGGCCCGCCCTTGTGCCCGGAGGCGAGCAGAAGCAACCGCGCGTGGGCGCGCGAGCAGGGCGGCGATGCGCTGCTGTGCCAAGGGCGAGGGCGGCGGCGGAGGGGACGGAGCGGCGGGGGAGGCGAGCGACGACGACGACGACGACGACGACGACGACGACCACGACCACGACGACGACGACGACGACCACGACGACGGGGCGGCGGGGGAGGCGAGCGCCGAATACGTCCTGGAGGACGGTCCCTTTGGAACGCGGCGGTAGGGCCGTGGCCCTCAGATGGTGATGGTGAGGACGCTAGGTGACGAGGTTGGTCAGGACATGTGCGAATGAGTTCCTCCGCCTCGCTCTGACACGCGGCGGGGCCTTGTCCCCAGCAGCGGCAGCACTGGAGGCTCAACGCTCGGCGGAGGGTGCGGGGCGGCGGGGCAGGCGGGCGCCTCCTTGAGCGGCTGGCGTGGGAGAGCAGCGTGGGACACCGATCTCCGGAGAGCACGCTGCCCCGGAGAGGCGACCCCGCCGCGAGGGCCCCTGCTGCGGGGTCCGTTTTTTTGGGGGGGGGTCTGCTCTCTGGCGCCGCCCTTGCATGTCCGACTCTTTCTCGGCGGACCTGCGCGTGACGAGACGAAAGGGTGATGGGCGAGCTGGGATCCAGTCTGGCTCTGGAGGGAAAGACCCGACATGGGATCCCAGAGGCCGCTCTCCCGGCAGAAGCCGGGGCTGCAGAGACGGAGCCTCATGCAGGCCCCCGAGAAGCGTACAACTTCCGCGCGCGCTACCACCCCCCCCTCCCCCCTGCCAGGGCTGCTTCGGTACACGCTATCCCCAAGGTGGGGTGAAGGTGTCCAATGAGCGGGCCGGCGGGTGCCACATCGCACGCGATCTTTCCAGCGCCGACCGTAGGGAGGAGGGCGAAGACGGGAACGCTTCGGGTGGCGCGCAGACATCCCCCCAAGGGTAGTCCCGGCTGGCCTCAACAGCCCCTCCAGGTAGTTCTGGCTGGCCTCAACAGGCCCTCCGAGTAGTCTGCGGCGGTCTCAACACCCCAACCCTGGGACGCGGAGCGCCCCAGGGGCGCCGTTAAAGGCGGCGCGTGGGTCCAGTGGGGGAGCTACCTGGGGGTCCGTTGACGCCCGCCGGGGATACGGTGAGGGCATTGGAAAAGGAATCCTGAGATGAGGAATCCAGGGTCTGTGGATGAGGAACCCTGAGATGAGGAAGCCAGGGTATGGAAGCCAGTGAGATACCAACTGAGGCTTGGCCATGGATGCCAGCGCCACCCTCAGCAGATAAGGAATCCTCCAGGGTCTGCGGCCTCCTGGGCACATTCCTAAAGAGCGCCCCCACCCTACTTGGGGGGGATGCTGAGGCCCGCCGGGAATACCTGGGAGGGCCGTCCGTTCGCAACCCGAAGCCTCACCTGGCGGAGGGGGAGAGGGGCGGCGGATGAGCAGAGGCCTCGCGCTCCCTGCCCCCCGCGGCGCGCCACCAGGGTGGGGGATGGAGTGTCACGAGAGGGCTGGCGGCGCCGCATCACACGCCAACCTTCCAGGGCTGGGCTGGGCCTCCGGGGGAGGGGGTGCCGGGCCCGCCCTTGTGCCCGGAGGCGAGCAGAAGCAACCGCGCGTGGGCGCGCGAGCAGGGCGGCGATGCGCTGCTGGGCCAAGGGCGAGGGCGGCGGCGGTGGGGACGGAGCGGCGGGGGAGCGGGGGAGGCGAGCGACGGCGACGACGACGACGACAACGACGACGACGACGACGACCACGACGACGGGGCGGCGGGGGGAGGGGGGCGGGCGGCGGCGGACGGGCGCCCCAGCCTGCCCTTCGGCGCGCCGCCGAAGGGCAGGGCAGTGGCGCCCGCGGGCTGGGAGAGAGCGGGGTCCGAGGGCGGCCCGTGCGACGCCGAGGGCCCTCAGGGCGGCCCGGGGGGAGGAGGAGGAGGAGGAGGAGGAGGAGGAGGAGGAGGAGGAAGAGGAGGAGGAGGAAGGAGGAGGCGGCGGAAGGAGGAGGAGGAGGCAGAGGTAAGAGGAAGAGGAAGAGGAAGAGAAGAGGAAGAGGAACGGGATGATGTGATATGATGATGATGATGAGTTGATGATGATGATGATGATGATGATGTGATGATGATGTGATGATTGATGTTGCTGGATGATGAAGATGCTGATGATGATGTTGATGATGATGATGATGAATGATGAGGATGATGATGTGGAGGAGGAGGAGGAGGAGGAGGAGGAGAGAAAAGGAGGAGGGGAGGAGGAGGAGGAGGAAGGAGGGGAGAGGAGGAGGGGGAGGAGGAGGAGGAGGAGAGGAGGAGAGGAGGAGGAGGAGGAAGGAGGAGGAGGAGGAGGGGTAAGGAGGAGGAGGAGGAGGAAGTGGAGGAGGAGGAGGAGGTGGAGGAGGAGGGGTGAGGGGGAGGAGGGAGGAGGAGGAGGAGGCGGAGGAGGAGGCTGGAGGAGGTGGAGGAGGTGGAGGGATGAGGAGAAAGGCGGAGGTGGAGGAGGAGGGGGGGGTAGGAGGAGGGAGGAGGAGGAGGAGGAGGAGGAGGAGGAGGAGGAGGAGGAGGCGGAGGAGAAAGGGAAGCGAGGAGGAGGAGGAGGATGAGGAGGAGGAGCGAGAGGGGAGGAGGAGGAGGAGGATGGGGGAGGGGGAGGGGAGAGAGGGACGGAGGAGCGGAGAAGGAGAGGAGGAGGAGGAGGAGGAGGGGAGGAGGAGGAAGGAGGAGGAGGAGGAGGAGGAGGAGAGGAGGAGTAGGAATATGGGAGGAGGGAGGAGGAGGAGGAGTGGAGGAGGAGGAGGAGGAGAGGAGGAGGAGGAGGAGGAGGCGGGCGGCGGTCTGGCGGGGTGCGGATCTCCCGCTCGCCCCGAGCTGCACCGCGGGGACTGCCCATCGGGCGGCGGGCGGTTGACGGCGTCGCGAGGCTTGCACAGCATGGGGTTCATGAGCGAGGAGGGCGGCGGCAGCGACGGCTGGGTGGGCGAGGGGGGGGAGGGATCGAGGGGCGAAAAGCGTTGCATGTGCAACCCTCCCCAAACCGCGCCAAGTGCCAACCGCGCTGTGTTCCTCCTCCCTGCTGACCAGGTCGACGTCGTAGTCGTCCTCCTCCTCCCTCCTTCCTCCTTCCTCCTTCCTCTTTCCTCCTCCTCCTCCTCCTCCTCCTCCTCCTCTCTCATCCTCCTCCTCCTCCTTGGCTCCTCCTTGGCTCCTGCTTGGATCCTCCTCCTCCTCCTCCTCCTCCTCCTCCTCCTCCTCCTCCTCCTCCTCCTCCTCCTTCCCCCGTCTTGCTCCTGCCTCCCAGCCCCTCACTCCGTCCTCCTCCTGCATACCTCCCCCGCCCTCCTCCTTCTCCCCCGCCCCCAAGGAGGGAGGAGGAAGGGCAGGGAGGCAGGGAGGCCCCCTCCTGGCCATGATGGCCCCTCGCGCCACCCCCACGAGGGAAAGCCGTCCTGCAGCGCCTGCAACCGTGCCGCCTCGGCCCTGCTGGGCTGTGCGGGGGTGGGCGGCGGTGCCGGCGCCGCCTTCCTTTTTGCCTCGGAGCGGGGGGTGGAGGAAGTCGATGAGGGGAGGAGGGGGAGGAGGAGGAGGAGGAGGAGGAGGAGGAGGAGGAGGAGGAGGAGGAGGAGGAGGAGGAGGAGGAGGAGGAGGAGGAGGAGGAAGAGGAGGAGGAGGAGGAGGAGGAGGAAGAGGAGGAGGGAGGAGTAGGAGAAGGAGGAGCAGCAGGAGGAACGCACGTACCTTGACGGTTCGTGTCAGCTACTCGGCAGAGCTCAGCAGCGCATCGCTGCGAGGGCAGCCGATCGTATTTAGTAATGGCAGGGCGGCAGCGCCGCACGGGGCCGCGGTGCCAGGTCTGCTTTTAATGTATGGTAAAGATGGAAGCTCAGCACGACACCATGATGGCGTCGTGCACGAAGACATTCTGACTCTTCATCGGGCCCAGCTCCAAGCCCCAGACGAGTGAGAGGTGAGGACGGGAGGTGGCCCCGAGAAAGAGCGAGGAGGTGAAGGAGGCGAGGAAACACGAGGTAGTGGGGCAACTCATCTGGGGCCGAGCATCCGAAAAGACATGGGCAGGCATCCGTAGACGGGATCCGGGCCGAGATCGTCCAGCCTCCAGCCAGCGTCTTGACATGAGCCCGGATCCAAGCAGGAGGCGATCGGATGAGGACTGCCCTGAGAGCCTCCCACCTCCTCTCCAGCTCGGCCTCGGGGAGCCGTGGCAGGTGTGGAAACCAGGAGGAGAGGCGACGGGATATCAGGGCTGGGAAGGAGTCGGGGAAGAGGGACGAAGTGAGGCTCTGGGTCAAAGCTCGCCGAGGGCGAGGGCGACGGGCGGCAGTCGCAGCAGCTTCGACTTCCGCCTGCGCTGCGGCCACGGCGGCGGTCCAGGCCGCTCGGGCGATCCCCGGACGACCGCCGCACAGCAGCCGCTCGAGGAGGTCGGCGGTCGAGCAGCTGCGCCTCCAGGCCGCGCTCGAGAAGCCACCCCTCTCTCCCATCCCTCCCCTCCCTCCCCTCTCCCCCCTCCTTCCCTCCCTCCCTTTCCCTCCCCTCCTTCCCTCCCCTCCCCTCCCCCCCCCTTCCCTCCCTCCCCTCCACTGGGCCCTCGGGAGTTCCAAGGCCGCACCCCAGCCCCTCGGGCCGTCTCTGAGGAGCGCGGCCACCGCGATCCGCCGGGCGGAGGCCCCGGCCAGGACTCGGGCGGATCGGGGGATCGAAGACCCAAGCCAGGAGCTGAGACCGAGGAGTTCCCCGAGGCCAAACGAATTGGGGGGGAGGCGGAGGAGACGGTGGAAGACGTGACGCTCGGGGCGGAGGAGGGCGGGGGGAGGGGGGAACATCTGGCAGACACAGCTGAGGACAGAGAGGATGCCGAAGTGGGGGATGCGGCAACTGGCTCCAGCTGGAGGTCTACCCAGAGCCACCTCGCCCGTGCGCCCGCGCCACTTCTGGATCGGACCAGCCCACTGGGCCTCCAGGGACGCCTCACAGAAAAGGAGCGCAGCCCCTCCTCCTCCTCCTCCTCCTGCTCCTCCTCCTCCTCCGCCTCCGCCTCCTCCTCCTCCGCCTCCGCCTCCGCCTCCGCCTCCGAACGCGGAAGGAAGCCCACTGAGGGGCCAGCTCAGCTCTCTTCCCGCGAAGCCTGCAGGCAACGGGTGGCGTGCAGACTCCGGCGAGCGGGACGGCGCAGCATATGCACGTGGCCGCAGCTCCAGCCTCGCCAGGGGCGCGGGCGGCGGCGAGCAGCGGAACAGGCGGCGGGGGAGGGCCCGGACCGACGGGGGGGGAGACGCCCACGTCGTCTGCCGTCACGCCGCATCCTGGCCGGAGGGCCGCGGCCAGAGGCCGCGGGCAGCGGCCACGGGCCACGAGCCTGGAGGGTTCCTCCGAAGGGCTTAGGCGACCCGTCCTCCTCCTCCTCCTCCTCCTCCTCCTCCTCCTCCTCCTCCTCCTCCTCCTCGGGCGCCAACGCTCGGGTTCGAGGCAGCATGCCCGCGCCTCGAACGATCGGGCAGCCGGGAGCGCAGGCAGGGCGGGCGAGTGGGGGTCCGTGCAGGCAGAGGGCCCAGGCCGTGCCCCCGGGCGCCCCCGGGGCCACCCCGGGAGAAGCCAGGACACGCGGGCGGCGGGCGGCTCAGCAGCTCGATTCCCCGAACAAATAAATAAATATAAATATAAATAATATATATATATATAAAATTAGAGAGAGAGAGAGAGAGAGAGAGAGAGAGAGAGAGAGAGAGAGAGCACGGACTGCATTCAGGAAGCCCGTCGGCATGCGACGACGCTCGAGCACGCGCCGGATGAAGGGTTGCGCAGGAGGGAGGGAGAGAGGCAGCTCGGAAGCAGAGGAGACGAAGAGGGGGGACAAAAACGGGGTGGTGGCCGGAGGCGCGGGCGACGATCGCATACTGGCGGACGGCGTGCGACAGGATGTGGCGGCCGCGCACAAGGCCCTGCTGGCTCGGGTACGCCCGCGCGGCAGCGAGCGGCGCAAGGGCGCGGTGCGCTGCAGCAGCAGCGGCCATCCGCGCGCAGCATGTCCCACCTCCCCGCCCCCCGCATCCCTGCCACCTGTCCCATCTTGCATCGCCTGCACCGCCTGCAACTCGTGCCCTCGCTCCTAGCCCTCGCGATCCCAATGTGTTCGTCCTGTGATTGCGCAAATCCACATCGGAGGTGGCTGCGCCATCAATTCCAAGCGCTTCTCTTGGATCTGTATCCATACGCCTGGGCTGAAGGCCCACAGGTTGGGCGCCAAACGATGCGCGCCGGGGTTCGGAACCCATTTGCTGGTGGCTGCTCTGCAAAGCCCAGCCACTCGGGGAACTTCCACCCCCAAAAGAAGAGCATCGACTTAGAATCCTGCTAAAACTCCTGCTGCTCCTCCTGCTGCTCCTCCTGCTGCTCCTCGTCGGGGTGGTGGAAGGGCGAGTCCTGCACTTACCCAGTACAAGGGCCGCAGAAAGGATCGGCAGCCCCCTCCTGCTCCTTCTGCTCCTCGCTCCTCCCCCTGCCCCTCCTTCTTCCTTATTCTTCCGCCATCCTCCATCCTCCCTCTCTCCTCCCTCCCCTCCTCCCTCCTGCCTCCTACCTTCCCCCTCCCTCCTCCTCCTCCTCCTCCTCCTCCTCCTCCTATCCCTCCTCCTCCTCCTCCTCACTCCTCCCTCTCTCCTCCTCCTCCCCTCTCCATCCTCCTCCTCCTCCTCCTCCTCCTCCTCCTTCTCCGCTCCTCCTCCTCCCTCGCCTCGCCCTCCTCCTCCTCCTCCTCGTCCTCCTCATCCCTCCTCCTCCTCCTTCCTCATCCTCTCCTCCGCCTCCTCGCCTCCTCCGCCCTCTCCGCCTCCTTTTTTTCTAGCCTTCTCCTCTCCTCCTCCTCCTCCTCCTCTCCTCCTCTCCTCCTCCTCCTCCTCCTCCCTCCTCCTCCTCCTCCTCCTCCTCATCCTCCTCCTCCTCCTCCTCCTCTCCCCCCCCCTCCTTCTTCCTTCACGTTCCTCCTTCTCCAGAGCCACTCCTCCTCAAAGTCGGGAGGATACGTTCCACCGTGCCGACTACTCTGGCGGTCGAGGGACCGTCCCGATCCAGGTGCGACCGGTGGATCGGCGACCCGGGCGAGCCCTGATCGACGCAGCGGGGTGCGCGTTAAGCTCTCGACGCCAGGCCCATCTATTGCCTCCTCCATCCTGGAAGGCGCCGGTGGAGGAGGGAGTGGTGTTGCTTTCCTGAGGGATCCCCCGTTGATTTGGAAAAGTTGGCTTGGCGCACCCTTCGGTGCCACAGGGCCCGCTGGCAATACTGAGACAGCTGATCAACTCATGTATCAACCGGTCAAGGCTGTGACTGTGTGTCATGCAGGTTTTCGAACGGTTCCCCCTCACCTTCTAATTGAGTTTTGTTTTCTCTAGACCCCCGCAAGCCTCCCCCCCTCCCCCCGCGCCAAAACAGGAGCCTCACACGTCTTCCTCCTCCTCCTCCTCCTCGTCTTCCTCTTCCGCCCCATCATCTTCATCAGCACCATCATCAACAACAACACAACCATGATCATCATCGGCATCGCTATTGCCATCATCACAGCCATTTCCACCGCTATCTGATCATTGTAAAAAAAGCACATGTTGTTTGACCCATGGCCGTTCCAACCGTAGAACGGTCGCCACCTGTTCAATCGTGGTGCTCCGAGACGTGACGCTGTCGTCACCTTTTGGCCCCTGCTATTCCCAAGCCGAGAACTGTCGTCACCTTTTGGCTCCGCTACAGGCGCCCCAATGTCATCAGAGGCGGCTGCCGAACTAATGTCTTAAATCAATGGTGTCAAATTGACCTCGGGTATACATTGCAATGAAGAAGCCATCTGGTCCTGACAAATACGGAGCCCTCAGGGCCACGTCTCATCTGTTTTGCTCCCCCCCCAGGCCTACCACAGTGTGTTTCGAATTCGAGGCAGATATTATAATCAAGTATAAATGGTAGAGTAAGCTCGGCCTCCGACCAACTTTGCATTGCATTGCATTTTTCTGCTTACCGGCGCTCCAAGACGACCCAAGAGGCTTCCAAGACCGCCCCAAGACGGCCCACGAAGCCTCCAAGAGGGCCCCAAGACAGCCCAATATGACCCAAGACAGCCCAAGAGGCGCCCAAGACGGCCCAAGAGAGCCCCAAAACGGACCCAAGAGGGGCCCAAGAAGGGGACCAGGAACCGAAAAGTCCAGCCTTCAGCCCCAAGAGGCCCCCAGGAGGCCCCAAGAGGCCCCCAAGAGGCCTCAAGGTGCCCCCAAAAGGCACCCCAAGAAGACCCAAGAGGCCCCCAAGAGGCCCCAAGAGGCCACAACACGACCCCCAAGAGGCCTCAAAACTGCCTCCCAAAGGCCCCTGAGAAGCTAACCACGAGAGCCCAACCAACATCTGTGAGGCCTCTGACCCGCCACCCACCGCCTCCGAAAAATGGCAGCCGCCCATCCGCACCGCATGGACAACACACCCCCACAAACGACAGCGGCGAGGCAATATGGGCCGGCGGAATGAGCGAAGCGATTGGATGACTACACTTCGCATTGCTTGATATCTATATATATATATGTATACACTTCGCATTGCCTGACATATATTTATATATGTATATATATATATACACTCTGCACTGCATGCGATAAATCAGCCGAACACGTCGGCATGTGTGAGACGTTCTTCCGTTTGAGTCGCAGTCGCCACTCTCCACATTTCCCTAGGCCCTCCTCCAAGCGACCCAGCCATACCAAAATCGAACAACGCCGCAATCGAGTCGAAGGGAGGCCTCCTCTCTTTGATCTCTTCCCCGCGCCGGGGTGGGATGGGGTGGGGGGGGGGGCGGATCGCGGGGGGGATCCTATAGGGGGGATCCCAAGGGGGGGGGGGGTTAGTGGGGGGTCGTGACCCTCCCCCCCTCTCCGACTAAGACGGCCCATCAAGCCCCCACAGAGCCGCAGGAGGCGGAACACCAACCGAGTCGAAGGGAAGGTCCTTGAGCCCTTCCCCGCTCCCGGGAGGGGATCGCTTGGGGCGGCCCCGGAGATCCCGAGGCCACCGGTGCCCACAAGGGCCCCCGCGGGGGCTCGCGAGCGTCGTCGTCGTCGTCGTCGTCGTCGTCGTCGTCGTCGTCTTCGTCGTCCCCCTTCAGGGTCGGCGGCGCCCGCCGTAAGGCCTTCGCAACACACTATCAATTGTTCCTCCTTCCTCCTCCTCCTCCTCCTCCTCCTCCTCCACCTCCTCCTCCTCCTGCTCCTCCTCCTCTTTCTCCTCCTCCTCCTCCTCCTCCTCCTCTTCCTCCCTTCTCCTCGCCGTCGTCCTCGTTGGCGCCGTCCTCCTCTTCCTCCTCCTCCTCCTCCTCCTCCTCCTCCTCGTCCGTCCCACTCCCCTGTAAAGAATTCCTTGTCGCACCTCCAGGCGTGTCGGTAGGGCTGGCCCGGCCTGTCGCCCGAGACTTCGTCGGCACTTAGTGGTCCTCAAGTTGAAAGTTGCAAGACTTTCGCACATGGAGGGCGAGCGGTTGTTAAAAGATGGCCCTTGCGTGCCGCACAATCTGGTCTTGAACGTTCACGCCGACTTCCAAGGATGAGGCTATCTCCTTTTCAAAACGTGGCCTTCGCCTCGGTGCCTCGCACACTCGTCTGGAAAAGCTTGCAGCAATTATGAATACGGAGGGCGGGTGGTCATCAACATCGCCTTGGCTCCGCGTTCATTCGTTCTGAAAGTGTGCCACCGCTTCAAGGCTCAAGGATGGAGGGCGGCTCTGTTTCAAAAAGTGGCTCTCGCCTGAACACCGCGCACACTCGACGTAAAAAAGAGGTTGCGAGCGCTTCGCGGATTCGAAAACATTTGAAGTACCAGGAATGGTTGTCTGGCACGATTGAAGACTGTTAGGACGCAACAGTCACGTTGAGTCGCGGTGTTGAAATCCCAAGAACGGCGTTCTGGCACGACTCAGGACTGTCAGGACGCGACAATCACGTTGATTCGCAGTGCTAAAATCAGAAGAACTTTGGTTTTGGCATGGTCGACGGTTCTCAGACGCTTGTCTTCCAATGGGGCACTTCCCGCAATGGCAATCAATTCAGGTAGGGACTTATGAAGAGGGAATTCGGAGGAACGGTGATTCGTCTTGGGTTTACACTGGTCCTTCTTTCTCCTCCTCCTCCGTCTCCTCTTTTCGCCGCCTGCGACTCTGGCGGACCCGACTGCTCTACGGGGGCGTCCCCCAAGCAGGCCGTCCTGCTCGGAAGTCCCGGGCCGGCCTCATCTAGAACCTGGCCTCCTCCTCCTCCTCCTCCTCCTCCTCCTCTTCCTCCTCCTCCTCCTCTTTATGTTATCCTCCTGTTCCTTGTCATGCTTCTGCACTTCCTCCACCCCCTCCCGCTCCGCATTCGCATCCGACGCCTCGTCATCCTGCTGCTCCTCCCCATTCCCTCCAGTCCTCTTCGTCCTCCCCTTCCCCCTCCCCGTCCTCGCTCGTACCTCCCTTGCCTTTCCAGCCCAACCCAGTACAATCTGGCTCTGGGGATCGCCTGGTTTCAGGTGGCCCTCCGCGCCGCGCCGCCGCGCCCAGTGCCCATGAGGAGAGCCCGTGGGTGGTCGGACTTCGTCCAGGACCAGAACGTTGGCGCGGCGGCTGCGCCGCCAGGCGAGCGAGGAGATGGGCCAGAGCAGGGCGGTGAAGGCATGCACTGAATATAAGGCCAAGCCTGGACGAAGAGAAACTCGAGGAGGAGGAGGAGGAGGAGGAGGAGGAGGAGGAGGTGGAGGAGGAGTCGGATGCGGGTGCATCGAGAATCTCTCAGAGCCGGCTCTGGAGGATGTCTCGGGTGCCGCGGCCTTCTCGGAGCGTTCGGGGACGCTCCGAAAGCGTTCCAACAACGCTCTGGAACGGATTCGTCCTTGGTCCCAACCCCTCCCGAAGAAAGGCCAGAGCAGGGCGGCGGCGGCGGCATTGCCTGCCCGCTGCAGGGTGCTCACGGGCATCGAGCCCTGTGCGACCGTCCCGAGGCCCGCGATGCCAGGTCCGACGAGGCCTCGGAGGCGGAGGCTGTTGCAGGAGCGGGAGCTTGAAGGCTGCGCGGCCCAGGTATACAGGAAATCGGGTTCGGCATGCCCCCCCCCCTTACCAGCCTGGAACATATCCCTATCCCTATGCTGGGCATCTCCTCATCACGATGCCAATCTCAGGGATTCCCTTATTTTTTGAGGGCGAATCCCTAAGATTGTCATTGCCTTTTGGCGTGTCAATCTTAGGGATAGGGATACGTTCGAGGCTGGTAACCCTCCCCCTCCCGACGGACCCCGCCCGCGCGTGGGGTGCGCCCGCCCGCAGGGTGAGGCGCGCCCACAGTGCGGAGGTCGGGCCGACGGGCCTGCGCAGCGCCGCGGCGCGTGAAACCCGCCCGCAGGGCGCGCTGCGCCGGTCTTCGCCGGGCGCGCGACGACTTGCGGCTCCCTGTGGTTCTTGCGCGGTCGCGTCCCGGCCAGGACGCGCGCCACGGCGCGCCACGGGGTCGCGCAGGCGGGCAGGTCGCGGAACGCCGTGGCGCGCTTCGCACTGCAGGAGTTGATCATGACTCGCACTGCGCCCCAGACCCGCAGCCTTCCTGGGCAGACCGAGTGGACGACAACGACGCCGAGCCCGACGCGCCTGGGCCCGACGCCCTACCCGACGCCCAGCCGCGCACCCCTCGACCCCGACGCCCCTCCCGACGACGCCCCGCCCGATGACGCCTCTCAAGGCTTCCTCCCCGACGCCTTCCCCGACGCCCCGCCCGGGCACTGCCCGCTGACCCTTCCGACGCCCCCGCCCGCGCCCTGCCTGCCAGTCTGGGCTCTGCGCGGCGTCCGTCTTCGCGGCCCGCCACGTCAGCGGTTCACGCCGCCGACCGAGTCACCGCGGACGCGCCCCCGCGCGTGAGCCCTCCGCCCGAGCCCGAGGCTCCGCAGTTCTCCTGCGACGACGGCCACGGGCGGCCCCAGCGCCGCTGGCAGCTCCAGCGACGGCTTGCGAGGGGGAGTTCCTCAGCCCGCGCGGCGCGAGCTCGTGCAACTCGCCGAGAGCACCTGGTCCGCTTTGCCAGACACCCGCGCCCAGTGGGACTCGTTCACCTCGGACCGTAGGAAGCAGGGAAAGGGGCGGGCAAGTCCTGAGGACGCCCCAACTCGCGTCTTG